TTTAATGCCTACCCTTCCTTGGACCTCATATTATCATTTTACAAATCCCCTTTGCTTACCTTTATCTAACATTCATATCGATATAGAACGAAATAAGGACATGCTATATCGACTCACTACAACACTAACACCTAGACAATTTACTTACATTGGATACAAAAAATCACTAAAAACACACACTGCACCCCGAGCTAATGAATATACACTAGAATATTACGATCATAACATCATCAGAACTAACCAAGATCAATTCTTAGACGACGATCGCTTCGCTAACCCACAAATCACCGAGAAATTTTTCATTAAAACACCATATGTATTTACACTAAATATCTTCGATCGCAAGTTTGACCACATTATTTCAGAAGCACTAACAGACACACAAGCCTACGAAAGTTTTAATGAACGCTTCCAAATATTTTCACTAACCTTTCATTTCCTTGCACCACATGAAAGAGATTTGCACTGCTCACACGATATTATGTTGCGCACTAAACAAACACACACATATACTTATTATCGTTTCATCCAAAATCACTTTGACCTACACACTCCCTCCAGACAACCACACCATCGTTTTCAATTCATCAATTCCAAATACACCTCACCATTCTTTCTTAACTTCACATATTGTATTAAAGATACTAACCTTCATGGTATTCTTCGAAATTATGATCCCATAACCCAAATGTATATTTTTTGTCCAATCACCAAGACCTTCAACGCAGAAGAATCCCGACCCTTCCTTATCCCACACGAGTTTGTACAACCTATTGAAATCCCCATTTTAGAATTCATCCATAACACTAAATTCAATCACAAATTATATAATCTAATCCAAAACACACCTTATGAATTTGCAGTTGGCACTGAAGAACTAACCACCATTAAAGCACTTCAATTGCTTTGGCCACTGCTTCAAACTAAAAATATCATCCGCATTTTAGCTAAATTACTAACAACTTCAGATCTCATCCACGACATCTTCCCCCACGGTTTCTTCCCCGACGACTAACAGGTAAGTATGAATTATACATATTACTAACTAATTTAAAGATTAGAAACTCACCATTCTTTATCCATGTTTTCTTTAGAATTTTAGCCTTCATCCTAGATCATCTGAAAAATTCACAAAAGAAAAATAAAAAATAGCAAACTTCTTCAAAACTGTTTAAAACCCTATTAAATTTTTGCACCAACAATTAAATAAATATAATACCAATGCAGTAAATTAATTTATAAATTTTTTCCCCACAAGCAGTAAATCTAATAATGATGAAAATTTGTAACTTAATTTTCCCCAACAACTAGCAGTAAAGATAAAATTCTATGTAGTAAATTAATAAGAAGCAAATACAGTACTAACCTTTTGCTATTTTCATTCACTCGCACAAGAATTCTATCCAAACTCGCACAGCTCGCCCACGAAGAATTGTTTAAAATAATGAATTTCAGTTTCAAGCTTTCACACTCGATAACTCTAACACAAGATAACACGTTTCAAACTTTCCTTTAACCCGGTTGGAAAGGAATTATATACTAAACAAAACTAACCAATGCAGCTTACTAAACACCACAACACATAGCATAACAGCATGACTAAGAAAAGGAAACCAACGGTACCCAAACCGGATTAACCCAGTTTAAAACTGGATAATTTATTCTTTTGAAGACTATTATAAAGTCTAAGAAAGAAATAATAAAACACAAAAAAGTCGAAAGACAAACCCATACCACAAACAATTTGATTTTTGAAAAAAGGACACAACCAACAAAACATAAGAAAAACCACAACAAACCCAACATAAAACGTTGTCACATAACAGGACCTCTCACAAAAACCGCATGCAATCATACTCCCACTCCTGGCCTAACCCACCAGGAAGGACGTCCTGAGCATGCTCTATAGCCGGCCTAACCCACCGCGCTACATCCACGCTTTGTGACCATACTCCTATTTTTAATAAGAGCTACTCAAGGGTGAGTAACTCTTTAAAATAACTGAACTAAAACAAAAAGCTTTTGTGAAAACAACTAACTAAAATCATAATTAAAAAATATTAAACTAATAAAAGTTTTATAAAATGTAAATTACATTATGCAATACATAGTTCAGAATACAACACCAAGGACGAACATCCAAAGACAAAACGACCCTACTACACTCGAGAAAGAATCGCCAACTACAATCAATATGCCGCCCACAATCACAACTCAAAGGATTTAGAGTACGACTTGACTTCGCAGAAAAGGACTTCATTGAACTAGACCAATGACCACCTCGATGTTCAAGTATACGTACAGATCCGAGTAACCAGGCATCCCCTCCACGCACAATCTCCACGCCATTCCCAGACAAGGTCAAACACAAAGAAGTTCTCACCAATGAAACAGAAAAACCTGACATAGCCAACCATTCTGAAATCAGATTTGAGTTTGTTGCGAAAACCCAGTCGTTGTCTTGAGAAGACACAACGATTGAATCTGGGACTTCTCTAATAAGAAAACCCAGAAGAAATAAGATGTTCGCCAAATACCAACGTCCATCATCCATCTTTTGAATTGCAGAAAGACTATTCTAAAAAACTCTGTAAAACCCGGATGGGTGGAACCTGATCTAAACTACATTTTATGATTGGATAAATTAGATATTTTACCAATGTAAAGTATTTAATATTAACCAATCATGATCCATCTAACTAACAATCCACTTATTTGTAAGTGCTGAAATTACTTGTAATTTCAGCACCAGAGAGATTTGAATTTAACTTAGAAATTAGTTGAACTCTCCCGAGTACTTCAGCAGCCGCAATAAACCAGTATACCCTAGATCTATTGAGCCTAGCAGAGACTAGTTAAACAACCTGAGACTAGACAGTATAAGAGTAAGATTAGGATCGGTATTAGACTAAGAAGTTGCACGAATCTATCCGGCCGAAAATAAGATAGCGTGACGAGCAGACGGTGTACCCTATCCGAAATTACTCTATGAGTTATACCCATCGGTCCTAACTCAATATACATATACATATACATATACATATACATATACATATACATATACATATACATATACATATACATATACATATACATATACATATACATATACATATACATATACATATACATATACATATACATATACATATACATATACATATACATATACATATACATATACATCTACATATACATATACATATACATCTACATCTACATATACATATACATATACATATACATATACATATACATATACATATACATATACATATACATATACATATACATATACATATACATATACATATACATATACATATACAATACATATACATATACATTTACATATACATATACATATACATATACATATACATATACATGTACATATACATATACATATACATATACATATACATATACATATACATATACATATACATATACATATACATATACATATACATATACATATACATATACATATACATATACATATACATATACATATACATATACATATACATATACATATACATATACATATACATATACATTTACATATACATATACATATACATATACATATACATATACATATACATATACATATACATATACATATACATATACATATACATATACATATACATATACATATACATATACATATACATATACATATACATATACATATACATATACATATACATATACATATACATATACATATACATATACATATACATATACATATACATATACATATACATATACATATACATATACATATACATATACATATACATATACATATACATATACATATACATATACATATACATATACATATACATATACATATACATATACATATACATATACATATACATATACATATACATATACATATACATATACATCTACATATACATATACATATACATATACATATACATATACATATACATATACATATACATATACATATACATATACATATACATATACATATACATATACATATACATATACATATACATATACAATACATATACATATACATATACATATACATATACATATACATATACATATACATATACATATACATATACATATACATGTACATATACATATACATATACATATACATATACATATACATATACATATACATATACATATACATATACATATACATATACATATACATATACATATACATATACATATACATATACATATACATATACATTTACATTTACATATACATATACATATACATATACATATACATATACATATACATATACATATACATATACATATACATATACATATACATATACATATACATATACATATACATATACATATACATATACATATACATATACATATACATATACATATACATATACATATACATATACATATACATATACATATACATATACATATACATATACATATACATATACATATACATATACATATACATATACATATACATATACATATACATATACATATACATATACATATACATATACATATACATATACATATACATATACATATACATATACATATACATATACATATACATATACATCTACATATACATATACATATACATATACATATACATATACATATACATATACATATACATATACATCTACATATACATATACATATACATATACATCTACATCTACATATACATATACATATACATATACATATACATATACATATACATATACATATACATATACATATACATATACATATACATATACATATACATATACATATACATATACATATACATATACATATACATATACATATACATATACATATACATATACATATACATATACATATACATATACATATACATATACAATACATATACATATACAATACAATACAATACAGTATATATATACCCATTCTCTGGAGTGACTCTGATTAACTCTTAGGTGTTGGTCCGTGTCGTTTCCCGCAAGCTACCACAACCGATCGGGTTCGAAGGCGGTGCTGTGGATGATCATCCCCACCTGGGCTGTGAGTGGGGGCTGGTGGCTTCTAGTCATAGTCGGACACCCTCTCATCTACGGGAGAAATGTGCCCGAGGGATACTGCTGGGCAAACTATTCCGGTAAAGTATCATTTTAATTAAAGTGATACTTACTTTTTTGTCTCAACTCAATTAGCTTTTAATAAGCCAAACCATGTTGAAGTTCATATTCTACATATTTTCAATGGTTGTTATTTCATCGGCTAGAGAAAGTTTTTGAAACGCTCAATAAACTTTCCGCCCGCCTGCCTTCAAAACAACCGAGTCAAAATTTTGTTAACCAGGATTTGTGAACTCTTTTTCAAAATAGGTCAATTTTTGGTACGTAATTTTCTGAACTAAGTCAAAAAATGCTTATTCAAAGTTCGTCTATTCTTATTTCAGAGCATTTTATAGAAAAGATATAGTTGCATTTCGTTGAAACAAAATTCATTCTATTTTGGGCAGAATATGTACTTCATGAAGTTATTTATGTTGGCTTAAGATTTTATTATGACTGGCAATCATCAAAATTATAAGAAGACAATTTGGCCTCCAGATGATTGTTTACAAACCGCGCAAAGACCCTTATCATAATGGTTAACAGACTCAAGACCTGTTTAATAATCAACCGACAACAAAATATCTGTCAAGAAAGTAAATTTAGCGAGAAAAATAGACAAAAAATAAGATACCTTGGCTACCTTGAACAACTTTTTCATGTTTTTTTTTCAGGAACCTTGGCGTTGACTTATGCGTCAACTTCCATAACCTATTGGGTTCCAGTGATTGTTATAACAGCCCTTTATGTTCATATATACAAAGTAGCGCATAAGATGAAAGCGAAAAAGAACGCCAAAAAACGAGAAGTTCTCGAGAAAGCAGAACCTGCAGTTTCAAGTAATCGGCTCAAGCCATTTGCACGTAACCGAAGTCCGTCGTCACCGAATGTCATAGTTCATGCTGAAATGACTTGTGACGCCGGCCGAAATCTGAACGACTGTGAACAGAATATGGTGGCAGAGATTCGACGAGGTTCCTTGAGGCCGAGTACTCCCGGCGACGAAACCCATTTGAGATGCCCGACAAAAATGAGCCGAATAGCTGTTTCGGACGAGCTGTTTATAAGACACAAGCCGAATGGCCAGGACTCTGGAATTGACGTGGATGTCGGAAACGATTCATCGGAAAACAAAAAGTAAGACAAGTTGGGAGAGAAAAGAGCTCCGTGACTTGAAACCGCTCCTAAGGTAATTAGGAAAAAATGAGGTTTTTGGGCGTTTTAGGAGAACTCAGAAAGCAGTTTGGTCGACTCAAGAATGACGTCTGATCAATTTTATAAATTGCCTAATTTAATTTCCGAGCTATCCCGTGTTACCTAAAAAGAAGTCATGCTTCGTTTCAGGTCGAATCCTCATTTGAAGTTCACCAAAGTGTTCATAGAGAAGGACGAGATCAAAACGACGAAAGAAATAAGCGACGAGCACGAAGAAAATGCTGGTCTGAAGATTAATTTGAATACCGGTTAGAAAAACTTCTTACACTGTGTGAATGGATCAAGTATGAGTCTTTAGAAGAAAAAATTAAGCAAAAATAAGCTTAAGCACTTGTTTCTTACAGGGCAGAAGTACAATATTATTTCTAAGCGTTGAAAATTTTGCTCGTAAAAACAATTTTTGTGATTGTTTCTCATTTTTCTAAAGCATGCAATTGCATATCAAACTGAATCAATGGCTCCAAATTTCAGCGTTTCAAGATATTCCGTATTTTCGACAAGCATTTATTTTCGATATTCCGTATTTTGAATAAAATAACGAAGTATTTGTTCTCGATTAGTTATTCTTCAGTTTGGTAATTAATCCAAACAATGCCTACCAGTCGCAAATTTGTTATTTCTTACTTGCAATTGAGTGAGGGAAGGTTTTCTTTGTGAGCGTTCAACAGCGCGGAAAACGAGAAAAAAATGAATGAGCCAAATCAATATGCTGGCACTCAGAGGCGGATCTAGGATTTTCACGAGAGGGGGGCGGATTTTCAAAAAATGTTTGAAATTTTTTTCGAACTTTTTTTAGGTTGACTAAATTGTTTTTCCGAGCTCTGTCAGAGCACTAAAAAGACCCTGTTTTGGCCAATCGTTTTGCGTTGCAGGTATAAGTTTACAAAAAATAGGACAAAAAGGCGTTTTCAGGATATTTTTCTACGCTCGCTTCCCCCTCAAAGTTAGTAAATGTTGCTGTCGAAGGCAGGCGCCTTTAGAAAGATTTAGGATTCGTCAGCCTAAAACTGAAATTTTGAGTTAGTACAAAATGAATATTTTTGAAAACTTGGTTGCGTGTGGTGTCATATTGAAGCCCTATTGGTTGCAATTCACTTTACAAAAAAACTTCTAGAAATAGTTTCTTTTTCATTTTCGAGGAACGCGAGTCTGAATTTTTGTTTTCAGAAAAAAAATTAGTTAAAAATTTATGATTGTGTGATGATTTGAGAAATCAATTAAGTTAAGACTCTTAGTATCAAACCTAAAGAGAATACTTGATTGAACGGATCTGCTGCTGCGAATAAAAATGGTTCAGAGGCAATTCTTTATTTATTGCTGCCCAGAGGCAATTCTTTATTGATTATCGGTTGAGTTTAACCAACTGTCACATTGTGTCAGCAATGACAAATTCTCATGATATTAATAAATTCTGTCCATGAATGAGATGCTGTCGATTGTATTTTTGGTATAAAATACTAAAAATGGGAACACGTGAACAAAAAAGATAATTATCCCTGTTGATCATTCTTGTTTTTATGTACACTTTTCCCATTGATAGCAACTGTACCCACCAACCAAATCTTAGGTAAATTATCAATATGATCGATCTCAATTAAATCTTCATAATAAATCTCCTGCACTGCACCAACCGATAACAACGGTCTTCAGACGGAAAAGTTGAAACGAAAAACCCTAATAACTCATTAGATCTTACAAAATCTGATAAGGCATTGGCTTGGCTGGTTGCTTTGCTTGGACGAGCACGCTCAGAGAACAAAAGCGACCAGTCTGCAGACGGAATGAATCTCGCAGACCTTGAAAACACGATTTTCTCTATCAACCAATGAGCAGTACAAGCAAACTTGAAGTTGAGGAGTCTTCTTTCATCAAAAAATCTCTGCAAAATGACGTTCAATGAGATAATTGCTTCCCTAAGAGGTTACTGCAGACCGACAGAACATGTGTTCGTTGCTGAACGGGCCAAGTTCCTAGAGATAATTAAGAATCAAGGAGAGTCTGACGACAATTTTTTTTCGAAGACTTCAAGAAGCTGATCAGTAAGGTAATTTCTCTGAACTTGAAAGCACCACTGATGAAAAAAACGAGTTGAAACGAATGAAGTTTATCTGGAATATGGAAAAAAATCAGCAGAGTCTTAACTCAAGTTTCTTCAGTCAAGTAGAGTTGAAACAGAAATAATCCTTACCGTATGAAAAATGTATTAGAGTTTAGCGATCAAGCACAGTTTTTCCTGTGAACTCTAAGGTTAATGTTAGAGAAAAAAAAAGCATTCGAATCTAAGTCAACCTTTAAAAAACAACGAAATGCTAAAAAAAGCTTACAATGGCAATAACACGAAATATCCAAACTGCGGCAAAAAACCACACGGCAATAAGTCTTGTGCTTTATCGGGTAAAAAAAGTAAACCATGTTGTAAGATGGGAAACTTTGCAAAAAAATGTCGAAGTCCTTTAAACAACCACAACACAGGTAATAGTAGATTTATTAAGAGAGTAAACTATCATGCTAAATCGGGTCAGCTCTCAGAATGGGAAAAAGGAAGTTGTCAATTATGAATATATTTCGCATCAAGCCTTGACGGCATGGCCGCCGCATGGAAAACTGTCGTCATTGATGGCACTGAGATGAAAATGCATATGGACACAGGTGCTGATACAACAATGATATGGTCGACCATCTGAAGGAAGTTTGGAAGACTTAATTTTAACAAAACTGCTCGGACTCTACAAGCATACGATAGACACAATATTTTAGTCAAATGAACAGCTTTTAGCGACCTGACATGGAATGGTTGACACTATTCAAAGCTACTTTTGGCAGTTGTGCCATCCAACAAGACTGCAGACTCCTAAATCTCTTACCAATCCTTTATTCGATACATGGGCCCTCAGTGAAATTGTCGAAAATCAAAGGATACAAGGTCCTGGTGAAATTGAAGCCTTGAGCATTTATACTTTTGTGGAGCATGCAAAATTCCGCTGCCGCTGCAGTAAAAACAAAGCCACAGGACATAGTCAAACAGGGAGTCCTCGAGCTAGTGCAGCTCGGCGGAGTTGCCATTGCATCATCAATCGTGTGGCAGTGGAAAAAATGGTGGTCTCAGACTTTTTGCCGAGTCCTCAAGCTACCTTCACCTCAAGGGCAAGCTAATTAAAGAAGAATTACCATTACCCGACAAGAAGACAAGTTTCCACAACTTCCATGGATCCAGGTTCTTCAGCGGAATTGACCTCTCAGACGCTTACCATCAAATCGGACTTGATGATGAAGCAAGAGAATTGTGCACAATAAACACCCAAAAGGCGCTGTTCAAGATGTGGCGACTACCTCAATGGTGGAAAAACTCTTGCCCTATCTTTCAAAATTGCACCACGAAACTGCACTGTGTCAAAGGAATCAAATGCGCGCTTACTTTGCAAAACGACCGGCTTGTCTTTGGAATTTCACAGGAGCAATACAAAAAAACTATGACGGTAGTCAATGGACGACTCATAGAAAAAAATCACCATCAACGAGACCAAGTCAAACTCGACACCACTCTCAACTGTTTCTTTTTAGACTATTCAGTTTCAGCTAATGGAATTAAGTCTGAGGATAGACTTGTTGAAAAACTTGGAGCACAGGATACCCGCGAACCAGAACGAACTTCAATCATTTTATTGACTGGCAAACTTCTACGGACAAAGGATTCCGAACTTTGCCACCAAGATGTTCCCACTCAATGAGTCAATTCTTTTAATGGACAGATTAACTTAACAAAAGCTTTCAGAATATCAAACAAGAACTCTGCTCGAAACCAAGCGTGCAAACCTACTCCCTGGACCTTGCGATGCAGGCAGTTGGCGGTGTTTTCTCTTAAGTAGAACATCCAGTGGTCTAGTTTCGAGGAAATTATCATCAGCTGAGCACAATTGCTCCAACCTAGTATGAGGCACTTTGGCAATCGTGTTTGTGATCACATGACTGAAATGGCTGTTACTAGGCCGCAAGTTCACTCCTCGAATAGATCACAAACCCTTGCAGTATCTCTTCGCGCCAGACGGAGAGATACCGAAAACAGCATCGCTATTAGCATCGCAGATAGGCTATTAAGCTGATGGGATTCGTTTGCAAACCGAGTTATATGTGCGAGGAGAGCCAATCCCACGAATGACAAATTCTCATGATATTAAAAAATTCTGTCCATGAATGAGATGCTGTCGATTGTATTTTTGGTATAAAATACTAAAATGGGAACGCGTGAACAAAAAAGATAATTATCCCTAGTGATCATTCTTGTTTTTATGTACACTTTTCCCATTGATAACAACTGTACCCACCAACCAAATCTTAGGTAAATTATCAATTTGATTGATCTCAATTAAATCTTCATAATAAATCTCCTGCACTGCACCAACCGATAACAACAGTCTTCAGACTGAAAAGTTGAAACAAAAAAACCTAATAACTCATTAGATCTTACAAAATCTGATAAGGCATTGGCTTGGCTGGTTGCTTTGCTTGGACGAGCACGCTCAGAGATTAAAAGCGACCAGTCTGCAGACGGAATGAATCTCGCAGACCTTCAAAACACGATTTTATCTATCAACCAATGAGCAGTACAAGCAAACTTGAAGTTGAGGAGTCTTCTTTCATCAAAAAATCTCTGCAAAATGACGTTCAATGAGATCATTGTTTCCCTAGGAGGTTACTGCAGACCGACAGAACATGTGTTCGTTGCTGAACGGGCCAAACTCCTAGAGATAATTAAGAATCAAGGAGAGTCTGACGACAATTTTTTTTCGAAGACTTCAAGAAGCTGATCAGTAAGGTAATTTCTCTGAACTTAAAAGCACCACTGATGCAAAAAACGAAATGAAACGAATGAAGTTTATCTGAAATATGGAAAAAAATCATCAGAGTCTTAACTCAACTTTCTTCAGTCAAGTAGAGTTGAAACAGAAATAATCCTTACCGATATGAAAACTGTATTAGAGTTTAGCGATCGAGCACAGTTTTTCCTGTGAACTCTAAGGTTAATGTTAGAGAAAAAAAAGCATTCAAATCTAAGTCAATCTTTAAAAAACAACGAAATGCTAATAAAGCTTACAATGGCAATAACACGGAATATCCAAACTGCGGCAAAAAACCACACGGCAATAAGTCTTGTGCTTCATCGGGTAAAAAAAGTAAACCATGTTGTAAGATGGGACACTTTGCAAAAAAGTGTCGAAGTCCTTTAAACAACCACAACACAGGTAATAGT